AAACATAAATATAACCAAAACATCAACCACAACAAAATTGAAATGATGAAAAGCTGTTTACCCAAGAAAACTCTAATATCCTCATCGGTATACTCATTCAAAATAGTAAGTACTCAGATAATTTGAATCTGATACTTCACGCCCAATGTTACATAAAGTAGTAATTGTGTGCTGCTCATAACCATTCAAATCTTCAAAGGATATGTTCAACTTATGCTCTTCTGAAGGATGACGTGTCCAGTACAGAGGAAAGATGGGAGCATTGTCTTCTTCTCCCAGAAAAATAGATGGTAATCTTTCGCGGGGTAAATCTTGAAGTATTCTGGGGTCCATTTGTGAATCTTCCTTTGATAGGAATAACATAATTTGTGCTTGGTATTTCCTCTAAAAGAAACCCAGCTGGTACGCGGCACAAATACACTAAGCAGACATAAAAAAGATTCCGGAGATTGAAACAAATTATAGGCCTTACACACCATCTCGTATACCCTGATAAAACCCCATGCGTTCGGAGATAATTGTGAAGGTGCCATATGAATATGAGCCAGCAATTTACAAACAAATGGGGACAAGGGAAGACGCATGCCTATTGTCAAAAAGAAATAAGCATACATCATCAGGAAGTGCCTGGAAGAATTATCAGCGCGCGATGAGTACACTCGTTCATTCAAGGGAACTACAGATAGTTCGTAGTTATCATCCATTATTTGTTTGGGGTCAGATGGATTGCGGCCTTCAATTCTTCCAATTCCCCCGGTGATTTGTATATGGAAATAGTGTCTAACACGATGTCTGACACCCAATCCAAAGCCTCTGCATCTCGAATGCTACGAGTACCCGATCCGGTCGCTTTGGGATCATGTTTTTGTTTCTTCTTCTTCTCAGCTGCGTTGCGCTTAGCCATAATCTCCTTAATTTTAGGTGAGATAAAATCTGATTCATAAGAGGAGGCATTAGTATAGCTAGAAGAAGTAGAAGAAGAACTAGCAAATGAAGATTTAAATTGGGCAAAATTGCGTTTCTTATATGGATACCCAGCAGGATAAATGACAGTGAATGGAAGTGGACTAGGACTTTTTTCAAGGTTTGGCTTACTACGCGCAATGGGTGAAGAGGAATTGCGCGATGAAGAAGATTCAGAACTTAGGATGTTCATAGTATCATAACCATTTCTCGAATTAGAATTGGAGTCGCTTGATATACAAATAGGGTTGGTTGTCTTGTCCGGTATTAATACTTTGGAACAAGGAGACGAACTTTGTTGCGACAAAGTTCTGGATATCCCGCAGATAGGTTTTCGAGATGAAGATCCTATCTCAAACCTACGAAGTATGGAAGGGAAACTTTGATCAAGTTTCGCTTTCTCCCAGGGTTCAGAACCTTTGCCGGCTAGCCATCATTCCCCAGTCCCTACAGACCTAGACCTAGGGAAGGATCGTTGTGGAGGACTGGTGGAACCAGACCTTTCAGCCATTCTGATAAAATTCACAAATTTGCGATTATCAGGCATACCTTAGCTTGACGAAGGGAGGAAACAACAATGAAACAGAACAGTAGGATAAACGCAAAGGTAGAAGCATACCTGAATTTTATACTTCAGACGAGGAGTAGAAAGCAGGACGTGTCAACACTAAGAGAGCTAAACTAAAAAAGGAATACTGGATAAGAAAGTCTTTGAGACAGAACTTGGTGCTTAGAGTGATTTTCCCTCCAACTAAGTAGCTTAGTACAAATATGAAAAGTCACCACGAATAATCTAAAAGGTCAAAACGTGTTGAGAAAAGCGGATAAAAAGGTGGCACGTGGTGAGAAGGTAAATGGATTAAAACTTAAAACATCTCGCGTCTGTTATTAAGACACCCACGTAATTACGGTGGCATTTAATGCTCCTGACAGTTAATATCTAATCAACCGTTTTAAACGGCGAGATAATGATGATCCTTCATCATGTTATACACAATACTGAACGCGCTAAAGACACACCGCGCGAAGAGAATATATATATATACCTCACAACTTTTTTAATACCAAAACTGTGAGCTAGGTGGCAACTTATCTGGATAAAATACAATAGGCCTACCAAGGGCTAAAACCCAAAGATTAAGGCCCAAAAACATAAGGCTCGAATAAAGCACGATATCTCCATCGCGCGCAAAGAATCAGGGGACGCGATGGCTTCATCGCACCTAAACTGCCTTTAAACATGACTTCAGAGTTAAGGAATAGATCAATAAAGTACGAATAAGAAGCCATCGCGCCACAGAACCAATACACAAAGAACAGCTCTAGTTTGCCACCACTCTACCAAGATAGCTTGACATAATAGTGATAAGGCCAGGAAGGCACCAACTGAACCTGCAGCCCATAAACAGCCAATCAGAAGGCATACCGCCTACCAAAGGCGGCATCAGATTCCCTATATAAACAAAGGGTACATACCCAGGTATGATAATCTAATTCAGTAAGAATACAACATAAGTCTGGCTTTAATACTGACTTGAACGTCGGAGTGTCATTGCACGTACCCACCCCAGTCGGAGGCATCACGCCAAAGGAGAATAAGATCAATCCCTCCATTATCAACCATCAACAACCCAAGAATCCAAAGAGTAGATAACCCAATCTCAAGTCTTCTCTCATCAACCGAGTGTGATTAAGCCTAATACTTATTGGCCAGCCCATATAGTATTAGTCGGATCACAACTCTTTAAAATATATATGAAAAAGAAATTGTAAAGCAGTAAGTAGCTTTAGAAATCGATAGTAAGTTATATTGAAAATAAAAAATAAAAAATTTGTGCATCTATTTGATTATTTATTTTAATAGTCGCTTTCTTTTACAATTAAATAATGCAAATTGCCACTTGGATATAATTCCTGGATTATGAAATGTGATAACGTAAGGACAAATAACAATTTTAATGTAAATAAAACTTAATGGTTGCTAAAAATTGAAATAATTAATTAATCATGTACAAACTTAATTATTGGATCTATCGTAACAAACAAAAATCATAAAAATATGTGTTGCAGTTGCGGCAATGACCACGAGGAGAGATAACTAAAATTTTAAAAATGAAAATTTAAGAAGAGTTGTTATTAATTTATTTGATTATAGAAAATTTAAAAAAATTAAATAAACTAATCTACAAGAACTAAGTTAGGTTTGAGTGTTATGAATAAGAAATTACGAAGAATGAACCTCCCATGTGCATCTATTTCAAGATGACTATTTAAAGTCAAATTCGTGAATCAAAAAATAAAATAAAATTAACTAACACTCAAAAATAAACCAACAAAAGATTAAAAAAAACTACAATTTTTACAAACAAAATTAATAATAAAAAAAACCTAAGTTACATAAAAGGAATTTAACTTTTTTAAAATATCTGCAAGGAAATAAAATTTGATATATCAAGAAAAAACACAAATACCAACAACTCACTTACAAAAAATTTTACAGATAGTTTAGCAAAATAAACATTTTCCCTTTTTGTATTGCTAAGTATAATGATAGTTCAAAGTAGGAGTGTTAACGGGCCGAGTCAGGCTTTGGTCTTAAAATGCTAAGTTTGTGTCTAAATGTGTCAGCTTGACCTAGCCTGTTACTTGTTATGAATATAATTATCGGCATGTGACCTGTCTTATTTATAAAAAATAAAAGTCTGATTTATTCTGTTTAAAAAAATAAGACAACAAAAATTTATTCAAACAAAGTATATGATCAACAACACTAATAACTTCATAAAGATTCATAAATTCAATGTATATCCAAAAAGCATAATATAGAATAAAAATATTCAAAAAAATTGTTTAACCAATAAAATTAAGTGAAATGGGTTGAGGAGAGAGAGAGTAATTATGAATAGTATAAAAAATATAAAATAAAAATAAAAGTTAGGATATTAGGCCAGCCTGAAAGGCTTTCTTTTGAATTAGAGCCTGATGCATTTATATTAAACGAGCTTTTATACAAGTTCAAACCTGGTTTCAATAATCAATTTTAGACATGTAAACCCAAGCCTTCACGAGCCGAGCCTAAGGCTCCTGATTTGTTTAGCACCCCTAGTTCAAAGTCATATAATCCTTTGTAAAATAATTGTGGGTTTGTTAATTTCATTAAATGAAAAAAAGATCTCAAAAAAATGATTAACAATTAAATAATTTCAATCAAATAACATAATGAAAATCAACAAAACACTGAACACATCAAAAAGTGATAAAAAAAATGTTTTTCAAACCAACCGAACAACTCCCTACCAGTTAAATTTTTATCCTTTTTTTAGCATTTCGCATTTTTGTTTGGATATTTTTCGTATGCCTGCCGAAACACTAAGAAAAGTCTAACTTCAGAAGAAGAGCAAACGTAGCCCACCACTAAGAACCAGCATATAAATGAACCACTAAATCTAATCAGCTTAACCAGAAGTGCAGAAAAAACATAATCACACATTCAAACTAATGAGAAAGAAAAAAAAAAGCTCAATAAAATTTAAATTGCAACTATTAACCATTAGCAAGAACAAAACTACCCCATGAAGAAAAACCAAAAAAACCCCAAACTCTGTTCCGACCTTTATCAAATCCCCCATTGTCAATATGCTGTATCTCCTTCCTCCCTCCTCCTCATGCTCTCTTGGTTCACTACATTGATGTCAAGCTTGTGACTAAACTCAGCGTTCAACTTACCACTTGTGCAAGGAAGCTAGTTCTCTTCAGTTCCACAACTACGCAAAATTTACTTTGGCTATCACGGGTGCCTCTGAATTGACCATAGCACGCAATCACGTCGTGGGATTATAATTTAAAGCCTCACCAATATATTAACTTTTATTCGGGATCAACATGCATATTCATCTGCTTCTCATGTCTAATGTCTCTAGTAGCATGCACTTGAAGGGCTAATTAATCAGCAAATAAGGGCGAATACAAAAGCGTAGATAAGAAGTAAGGAGTCAAGACTAAGTTAGGAAGCAACTGAGGAAAAAATTACTTCCAATTATTGATTAAATTTAATGAAAATTACATAAACCTGATTGGCATCTGCAAGGGATCTTTTCCCCTGCATTTCACTTCTATACACAATCATTGGCCAAAAGCATAAAAGCCATACAAAAATCACGCCAGATATTACACTTAAACAACTTTAACATTCATTTTGATTTGTCTGCTTCATTTTTTGCTGCTTTGGGGGAATTCTCGGAAACAATAAATCATTGAGTTGTCTCTCAGCACTGTACTCTGACGTGGCCTGCAAATGTGATTTAATAAGTGCAAATAATTAGGAATAAAATACAGCACTGCTAATACCAGTGAAAAGATTTGAGGCTTTATGTAAGTTGCAACTGCGTGCACAGAAGCTATGTTCTAGATGGTGTTTGTAAAACTAAATAAAAAAGTAGGCGACCTAAAATCCAAATATAATAGATCAATTAAAAAATTATATTTTTGGTAAAATGGTAACTGTAAAAAATAAGAATAAAAGGAAATGTTTTACAACTACAACATATCCACTTTATTTTGAACTAGCCTGTACTAGACCCAAGCCTTACAAAAATATTTTCACCTGGCTTGACTTTAACGTGTTTGGAGGTACAATACATGGCTTAAGTAATATCATAACTTAATGAAATATAAAGGCATTAGAATTTGTAGCCATGAAAAACAACTGATGTACCCTTTTCTTGAATGCAAATCTCAGAGTTTGAACTTGAGTTCCTGAACAAACCCTTAGGTCAAACCCAAGGGAGTCTATACAGAAAAGTTGTGCCTCCTGCAATGAATTGCAATCAGACGTGATAATTGACCATAATATGCGTGAATGTGCATATGCTTGTGCATAAGTTCTCAAGAAAATGGAACAGGTAATAAGGAAGGTACTGAATGTCCCATATGTCGTTTCTATTTTCAAGACACAGACGTCAATTAATAAAGATTGTGCTACCAAAATTTCTATACGGCCATCTATAGTAGAGAAATGCAGCAGAGTCAGAGATTGCATTAACTTTATGTTTTGGATGAATTGAATGAGAGAATTTTGTGTATCAATGACTCACCAAAAATGCTGCAATTGCTTACAAAACAAATTTACTGTGGCAACTGGCAACAAAGAATTTTTTGTTTAAAAAAAAAAAAAAAAAAAAACTACCTAGCAAAAGTGCTTTAAAGAAATTATTCCAAGAGTTTACGTATTACCTCCACTTGAATACCCTTGCATCTCCAACACAGAGACTTAAGGGCTTGTAAGGTCTTTTCTCCACCAGCTTTCAAACGAGATATGATTTTGGAAGCTGAGTGTGCAATAGCATCAGGTTGAGCTTTCATGTAGTCTTCTAATTCAAGGACAGTCTGCAGAGAATCAGAACAAAAAATTTTGTTTACCAACAAAAAAAGGTCTAATTAGCATATATTTTAACACATCACAGTGCAATGTTCTTAGATTAGGCATATTTAGCCGAAGGATAGGCAATTTACATATTACTCCTTACACTAAGCCAGTAAATAGGGCAGTGTCACAATTTGTTTAATGATTCTAATCAATAGAGTTACGAATTAGAGAAATTACTATATCATAAGATTCATAACACCATAGAACATGGGGCAACAAACTGTGATTGAGATATCTTGATGCTATCTATGTCGGATTTGTAGCTGCTCCATCAGTTATAGATTTACAGTTATTCTGCTTTGCAGTAACTAGAACATGTAAGTACAAATTAACCATTTCGGATGAGACACCAATTTTGAAGTAGCTGCAGGAAAAAATAACACTTGTGCCCAAATTTCTGTAGAAAATCTGTTATGGCTTTTTGTTCTATTTTTCCATTTTCAATTAAATATATCCATCGTTGCTTAACTAACTCAATAATACCATAACCAATTATAGAAGTCAGTAAATTGCAAAGTAAAACACCAGTATCAGTGAATATGAACAAAGTGCATGATCAATTATACGAGTTCATAGTGTTTGTCCCTAAACAATCAAACACAAAGACATACATGTCAGCAAACTTACAGGATTTCCATGTGCTGAAAACACTTGAATCTTAACCATCTCCAATTTGTAAAATGAAGTCTCATTAAAGGGGATATCACTATTCCCATTATTCTCCACCTGTTTTGCTGCATTATCTACAAATGACCCTGAATCATGCACATGACCATTAATCGCACCAATATTTTCCCCTTTATTTTCTAAGGATTTACTCATGTCAGTATTACTGGATTGACTGGCAGATAGATGCTTCTGTATTGTAGAATGTTCTTCAACAAAAGCAGGTCTTATAACCCCTTGGATAGCTACACAAGCTGGAGGCTGCTCCATCCAATCAATTGGATCATCTGAAGCAATCTAGAAATAATAATAATAATAATAATAACCAAGTTAATCGATACCGATAAATCAAGGTAAAATTGCAAAAGGAAAAATGTTACAACGAGGTCTCCAGAAACCACAAATCAGGTACTTTGAAACTCCTTCATATAATTAACATTTTGACATTAATATGTACCTCAGCCAACTTTTTGGCAAAAAACATCGGATGAGAAGATTGCATAGTCTCCAATTTTGCCCAGTCTGCAAGTGTTTCATCAGAGTCTTCTTGCTCATCCTCATCTGAAAGAACAGCCACCCATTCCTGCAAACAAGAATATAAACAAATAATGGATAAACTTTAGTATCTGATGTTTAGAGTTCAGAAATGATTATAAGCTTCAGAATTATATTAAAAACCAAAAATTAAAATAATTCAGACCGTGTCAGAATCCTCGTTCTCATCTTCATCTTCTTCCTCTTCATCGCTGTCATCTAAATCATCAGTATCTTGATCATCAATTTCTTCAATCCCGAAGTCAATTTCTGAAGGACCAGATAAATCCATCTCGGAGATCATTTCCATGGTATCCACACCAACAATGACTTGCTACAACAAGGTACAGAACAGACAATGCACAACTCCAAAATTATTACATGTTAATATATGCAAACTTTGCAAAGTACAATGGAACTTGTGATTGGAATGAAAAAGAATGAAGATGAAAGAGTGAGCTGAATAGTATGTAGCAAACAAACGATGGATAAGGCTTAACTGTTTATAGTTCAAATATTACAATGAAACAGAAAAAGCCAACTAGGGAGAATATAAAATGATCGTTGAGGTATGCTTTCTTGATGTCAACAGAATAAACACCAAGAAAATGAAAGATATGGCCTCTGTTTGTCTCTTTCTAAATGATCGTTGAGGTATGCTTTCTTGATGTCAACAGAATAAACACCAAGAAAATGAAAGATATGACCTCTGTTTGTCTCTTTCTATCTATGGCCGCTACTCATCCCTGGCTTCTTTATTAACTGGATATCAAGAAAACTTTTCTCCATGGTGGCATGTCCGAAGAAGTCTATATGGAGCAACCTCTTGGATTAGTTGCTCAGGAGGAGTCCTCTGGACTAGCTTGTCGTCTTTGCAAATCTCTGTATGGGCTCAAACAATCTCCAAAGGTTTGGTTTGACAGATTTAGCAGGTTCAACAGTTTGGTATGACTCAGACTGAGGTTTTGGTAAGTACTAAAGCAAAATATGAAGCCTCACATCAACTGCTTGTGAATTCATTTGGCTCAAACATTTACTTAAAGAACTCAAATTTGGAGAAGTTGTGCAGGCAAAGATCATTTGTGATAATCAAGTTTCTTTGCATATTGCCCCTAATCCAATAATTCATTAGAGGACCAAACACTCGTATTATCTAAATAGTAGAAGTTGTGTCCGCACTCGTTGTACCTATTTATTATATAAACTATTATTCGTTGTGTAGCTGAAATACACGGAATTCATTCAATCTCCTCTTGTTTCCTTTTTCATTCAATAGTAAGTACGTAACAAGACTTTGTACTAAAAAAAAAAAGTACGTAACAAGACTTCAAGTGAAATGATTGCAAGTATCTGAAAAGAAATTCTTTGGCATTATCTAAAATGTTAGAGACATGGCCATACCACAAACTTATTTTCTGAAGTTAAGGATTGCAAAACATCTTCACCGTTTTTCGCTTGAAAGTATATATCTGCAATGCTTACAGCACTTAATTAGGTGGATGAAGCTTCCTGAGCATTAGAAAATTAATACGTAATAAATGACAGCCTTCACTTACTTCCATGTTCATCAGTCAAATAAGGCAAATCTGGCCAAATAATATTTTCATCAAATTCTTCATCAATCAAACTTGAGAACATTAGTGTTGCTTTGCTGTTGACCTAAAAAGGATGTACCACAATCATCATTAGCTATGCATTTGAAGTTGTGATGATAAGAATAAAAGCAACTGATAAGCCGTTCGATATAGTTCTTCCCTCAAGTTCAGCTTTTCCATTAAATGAGTTGAGATTGGGCTTGATTTACACCATATTGAGATAAAGGATCCAGGTTCATAGTCTGTTAAAATTTAACATAAAATGCGAGGACAACTAAACAACTCCTGTACAGTTAGTATTTTTAATACAACAGAATATCAAGATAATTTTGGCATTAAATTCAGCTGTGATCAGTTCAACATTTATTACTTGAACAAGAAGACAATACTGTTAATAAAGTTAGCCATAGCTTCAATAATTTTGTTAAGAGAAACTTATTGGATTACTGTGACTTACATTTAGCAAATCCCAACAAATTTTTAATACTTTTTCATAACTAGACTTTCCGGATATTCTTTTTTTTCTGGAGATATATATTCCAATCAGTTCATTGCTTCACGACTAATCTGATTCGAGGCGGGTCCCGGGATTAAGGCTTTAAACCCCTCCTAAAAATGTACTGGGGAGGATCGAACACATGCTCTCTCCCCCACCTGCTCAGTTCCCAGGCACCAACTGAGCTACTTTCTAGATATTTTTTAAGATTACAAGCAACCTTCTCAACTTCTACACTTAACATAAGTCAAATACAGGCTGCAGAAAAGAAAATTATGGAGCAGTTTTCTCTAAAACTTGAATTATCAAGTGGATTCCAAAACAAAGAATGTTACATTACAAAGGACCATTTATTTTCTTATTTACCAGGTAATTAACTACACACCCAACTGTAAACCTAGAATTAAAATACTGTTTTCCTTATTTTATAAATTTTATATACCTTCTGAAGGACCGGTAATGCTAAATCATTTCTTAACAAGCGCAGAAGATAATACTTCTTTCTAAAATGAAATGGAGACACTGGCTATGGTTTTAGCATCTATATTCACCATCTTTTATTTTACATCATATAAGAATATTACAGGTTTTGGAGCATAGGATAATCTCTAGCCATCATTTAATCCAAAAAGTAAGCTTCTTCTTCTTTCTCTCCATCGTACAAAGATAACACTAAAATAAAAAAACCTAAATGCTTACCAAATTTTATTTGTTCCTTGCACGAGGTTACTTCATTGATTAGCAAAAGCAAAATTAATACAATTAGTACCTCAATAATTGTTCTACTTGTTTCTGCTGCAGTGAGTCTAGCATCTCCACTTTTCTCTGATGTTGATGCAGCAATTTCTTCAAATGGATGATAGGATGCCTTCTCATCTTTCTTAATAGGATCCTGAGCTGAGCCCAGATTCTCTGATGATGCTCGGATTCTATTCTTTGCAAGTTTGTTTCTTCTCGTGAAGGGAGCGCCAGTGTATTTTTTACTTCTTACCCTGTGTAATCATATTCATTTATTACATATTTCCTCTTTTAACATTTAGTATTTCTAGACACGAAAGGTAGCCAAAATTTCCAGCATACAAATTTACAGGTAAAACAAGACATCACAGAATTTACATTTTGTGAATTCATCACTCAAACTTGCCAGAATTCTTTCAAGTTAAAGAAAACAAAAAGTTGTGAAACTATGTTGCTTTAGGGAATTACACACTTTACCACAGGAACTTGAATCAACCATTAACACTCAACATTTGTAAAGGCATTTCACACAGCTTTTTCACATGTCAAGTATGAATTTGAGTGCGTGTAATAAACCAAAAAAATATAGATTAAAAAAAATATGGTTGATTACATTACACCATCGCATTCAAGCATTACTACACAAAAATCACATACACACAGTGAAATCATCACCGTACCAAGGCACGTCGAAACCGCAGCTACAAGCAAGCCGGCACGACGCAACATAACCGGCGCCGTTAACGTCATCCGCGCTCCACATTGAACGGTTATCTGTAAGTAAACGGCGTCAATGAGAGAATGCACAACCTCACAATCACTTCAAAACGCTGCCGTTTTTGTTTCTCGGAAATCACTATAACTTCTCGAAATATCACATTCATAAAACTATAATCAACCGTTACTTGAACCAGCGAAAGCATTCGGAAAACGGAACCATGCAATTAAAATGAAAGAAAGAAAAACAAAAAAAACGGAAGATAAAATGGTTTAGAGAGAGTACGAAGTGCGCCGGCGGCGGAGCGAGCTGCGGCGCCGACGTTGAACCGGACGGCGATGGGAGGCTCGATGATCATCATTGTTTGTTGGTTGATTGGCTTTTTTGGTTCTCAGAGTGTGATGAGCAATCCACAGTGCTCGAGGTAGAAGATGAGGTGCTCTTTGTTTTGGCATCGTTTGGTGATGATCGTGCACGGCCAGAAATATTGTAAAGTTTCTACGCCTGGGCACATGTCTTATTATTAATGGCCCAATTAAATTCGTTGGGTCGATTTATGTGGATCAAATCACAACTTAAGTCGGGTCGGACCCTTCAAAACCTATCGGACTATAAAATATGTGTCCATCAGGTAACGGCTAGTAATAAAAATATAAATTAAAAAATATTAAATTATCGAAAATATAATATTATATGAGGTAAAATCAATTGACATCAGTGTTAAATTTTAAATTTGACACCTCATATGAGAGTCGTTAAATCACAAAAGATCAATGATGTCACATGCTTATAAATGAAAGTCATTAAACTTTTTTGATCTAACAGCTTTCAAATGAAGTGTCAAATTTTAAATTTGACACTAATATCAAAGTATCTTGCTTCATATTATATAAAAACAAGTAATGTGTAATTAATTTAACTAATGATTTTAAAATAAATTTACAATAAAAAGCGAGATATAATTTGTGTTATTCACTTACCATTCAACAAAACCAAAACTCTCAGAATTAATATGCATTCGGATAGGATCGGATCGGGTCTGATCCAAACCCATAATTCTTTTCTTCCCTTTTTTAGTTGTATCTGGTCCGGTAACGAAATATCTATCCCAAATAGCTGCACTTCACGTTCTTGTTCTCTTCGCTTATAGAGTTGAGAGCTGCTTCTCTCTCTCTCTCTCTCTTTCTCTGAAATGGTTGAAAAGGGTTAGAGTTCAATACGCTGAGATTTGAGTTCGAAAACACCAGGTCAAGTGTACGTAAACTGTGGTGAGTTTTTTTTTTCTTCGTTTTTTTGTTCCTTCAAAATTGTGTATTTTTTTAATTCAATTTTTTAGTGCTATTGCACACTGTAATAATGGAGGTTGAGTGGTTGTTGTCATTGAAGAACGATTTAGGTGAAGAAAAGGTGAAGAACTTAGCTTGTTCTATGGATTTGTGAGGAGATTGTTTGAATTAGTTTTCCTGTTATCTTATTAATCATCAATTTGAAAACCCAGGTTTTGATGTATAAAATGATCTAGTTGATACATAACTCTATGTTGATACAATATGTCCTAGGATTATATGTGTTGCATATTTTAGGTCCTGTTTTTTTTCCATAATTAGAACTGCTTAATGGCCTGTTTGGCCTAGCTGTTATGTAGCTTACAAGCTGTTTCAAATAAGTAAATAAAGAAAGGAGTTGTTCTGGTGTTCTCAAAAATCAAAATTGGTAACAATTATTTCTTTTATGTGTCAGGCTGGTACCACATAATCTGTGTATGTTGTGGTACAGAAGCTGGAATATTGAATATCTGCTAAAAGCAAAATTTGAAACTAGCTAAATTGCTTCAATCTTAGTAATGATTATTGTGGAAGCAATATAAGAGGGCGAGGCTCGAGTAATGGTAAAAATGTTCTTTTGTGATTGAAAGGTCGCGAGTTTGAATTCAGAAAATAGCTTCTTTGCAATTATATAAGAGTAAAGCTGCGTACAAGGATTGCTCTCACCCCACCCTCATTTGTCGGGGTTCAATGGGGAGTGGTTTATTCATTTTAATTGTTATGGCTGAAATTGCCCACCAAGTCCAAACAGGCAGTCAATAATTTGTTAAAGCATAAGAAGTGCTTCTGTAATGCAAAAAGTAATTCATACCCCGGGACTATTTTGTAAGTCCTATTGATTGTTCTGTCCTCATCATGTTTTCTTCTCTATTTTAGAGTTGCTCAGGTTCTCAGGATGCTTGCTCTGACAGATTCTCCACTATTTATTCCTAAAACATTTGAAGCAATTAAGATACCAACAAGTGCACGAAGCACTGTGGTAAGATCCTAAGGTCTAGGGCTATTAATATTTGGAAACCAAAATTTTCAGGATGGAATTTTTTCAACGCCAGATATTTTGTCTGAATTTCGTTTCTAATATCAGGTATGTGCTGCAAAAGGTCCAAGACCAAGATATCCCCGAGTTTGGAAGACCCATAGAAAAATTGGGACCATTTCCAAGGCTGCTAAGCTTGTTCAGTCTGTAAGTCCTTCCTTGCATTCCTTGTATTCATTTCTGTCATTAACCTGGTAATTTAAGCTTCTGTTTGTTTTCTCAGTGGATAATTGTGATGGTGGTGTGTTTTGTTTCGTGCCGAAACTTTCAGATTGATTAATTCTTGGATGCTTTGCATTTCTGGAAAAATAATTTTTCTCATATCTTATACAGATTAAGCAACTGTCAAATGTCAAAGAGGAAGTTTATGGAGCTCTGGATACCTATGTTGCTTGGGAGTTAGAGTTCCCTTTAATTACAGTAAAAAAGGCACTCAAAACTCTAGAATATGAACAAGAATGGAAGAGAGTAATACAGGTACTTGAAAAAATAAAAAGAATTGCATCCTTATGAATTTTTAATGTTCTTTGTTTTGTATACTTTTGTTTTTCTCTTAAGCTGTGTTGACCCAGTGTTTTGAGATCTCTAAAGATAGATGTTAAGCGCAAATTTAGTTTGTTTTCTGAGTTTTACTTTATTTATTATTATTTCCCTATTCTTCCAATGGCTTCTGTAGCTGTACGTTATCTAAGGATAGCCTCTGAACTAATTTTCGTTTATACAAATTACAAATGCCATTGTAGATAGCAAAATGGATGTTAAGCAAGGGTCAAGGAAAGACTATGGGGAGCTATTTTACATTACTTAATGCTTTGGCAGAGGATGACCGACTTGAGGAAGCTGAAGAGCTTTGGACTAAGTTATTAATGCAGTACATGGAAAGCTTGCCTCGTAGATTCTTTGATAAAATGATATCTATCTACCATAAGAGGGGCATGCATGAAAAGATGTTTGAGGTATTACAATTTGTGATTCTATATCAATTTAAACCATTTATTCTTTTTATGAGGTTCTTTAGATATACCATATATTTTAGAAGTAGTTGTTTTACTTTTCTTAGTGCTTACTACGTGCTTCCATGAAATTATCAAAAAAGAGGAACAAGTACATTAATAGTGGATAGTGCATCCTCCTAAAAAATTAAGTATTCAAGAGCTACATAACCGAGACAAGCTAATTAACTAAGCGAAGATCTTCAATCTCTAAATTTCCAGCAAAGAAACCCCCTGAATCCGCCTTTACCTGAACACCATAAAGAGGCCAAGAGGACCACTGTATCCCATTGGATAGCTGTTCGCAGAACCTCTTATTATTCCTATTATGAAAGGGATTGAAACAACAAACTAACATCTTAGGTATTTATATGCATAGAATTCCTTTGGAAGAAATCTCAATTATTCAGGTTCAATGTGTTGTTTGTTGTAAATTTCTAGTTAGTAACATGACTGTGTAGTAGTTGTCAACTTAACATGCCCCGTTTTAGTAAGACTGGATGATAATTTATATGAAGGGACTTCAAACTAAATACATCATGGATATTTACTTAATTTCTCCTGTAGGTATTTGCAGACATGGAGGAGCTTTGTGTTCGACCTAGTGTTTCTGTTGTGTCGATGATCGGAAAAGTCTTCTTGGAGCTGGGTATGCAGGACAAATACGAGAAGTTGCATAGAAAATATCCACCACCTAATTGGGAATATCGATACATCAAAGGAAAGCGCATAAAAATCAAAGTGCAAGATCGGTCTAATCAAGTCAACAAATACATCAAAAAGCGTGAGAGTGTTGAACCTAATTCAGACTTAGAGGATGATAGATCTGAAGAGACTTCAGAGGTAATTGATGATGAGCAATTCATACAGGATGACAATGTAATATGCATGGAACCTGAACAAATTTCAGATGATTCATATGAGAGTATGGAACCAGCTTAGATGTGTAATGGGATAAAGATGATATAATATGACTATCAGATAAGTTTCTGTTGGCAGTTAGTCACAAGTTGTTGGGAGATGGAGTGAAGACGTTCTAGGAGAAGCACAAGGAGAACATGTTTTTTAAAATTTCACAAAACGTAAGCTTGAGAATCTGGTGGTAGCCATTTCATTTATGAGGTTATCAGATAGATCATTTAACAAGCCAGCGACTAAACAAATCAGACATCCTGCATCATCGAAGCCCAAGATGTGATGTTTTATCTCAAGCCAGTATCAATGCTGAACTAGAAAGTGGGTGCTTTGGCTTGAAATTTTCCTCAATGTGCAACTTCATCTGGAGATTGAGGATAATTTTCCAATGTATTGGCTTTGATTAGGCTTTAGTTTTGCAGGTTGGTTTATGTTGCTCGTATATATAATGTTCAAATTCTTAAACCATGATAATTAATTTGTCCAAAAATATACAAAAACAATTCTCAGGTTTTAATTTATGAATCTAAACTTTTGCAAAATCCAGACTGGGACGTAGCATGAGACTGTTAGCAAAAATTTATCTACCATTGGTCAATTTTCCATGTTTATAATGCAGTTAGTTTTGCACCACAGGTCCACAGCCGATGATGTGCTGCGCGATCTTTGTTGTGAAAAAATGTTCTTAAAACTAACTTTCATGCAGAAAGCAATGAGAATTTCTGTGAGGAAAAATCATAATTCTTCCACAAAATAATGCATCAAGAAACTCACCAAAAGATATTACGCAAATTTTTTTTCACCGAAAGCCAATAGATTAAAGTGGAGGAACAAAAAGAACATTGACAGATTCAGGCATATGCAAGGATAACCGTGTTTCCATGTTGAATAGTACAGAGAAGTATCGATTCCAATTTGGTTGAATCAAATATAAACTTAATATAATTTTATGAATATTTAAGATATGCAAGACTAATTAACTTTACTAACATATAACAAATTGAACAATTGTTTTACACCATTTCTCAATTTTTTTATATCAAATCTTAGTGTGTTATATATAGTATAAAATGTACCATAAATTATTACTAGCTCTTATTCATTATTTGATGAATAAACAAAATATGATAAATTTATTATGTTGCCTCATTTTATTCTAAAAGGGATATGGGATAAAGAATTGACAAGATAAGATAGCAAATATCATAGATATGAGGGAGATGTTATACTTACTACCTCTTTTTCTTATTATTAAATCTCAACCGTTGATTTTCGTTAATCTAACGGTTATAATTTATTGAAAATTATAATAATTAATTAATAAGTATGATCAAATAAATTATAACCGTCAGAGTAACTATAACCTTTCTTGTTTATAATATTAAATGTACCATAAATTATGCTATTCTCCTTCAAACTTTTTATCTCCATTGTAGTTTATTTTAGTTTCCTCAAAAATCTTCTTAAAGGAAGGCTCCTTCACAACATCTTCAAGGAACTATTGCTTATTATGCAATAGGATATTTATTTATTTTGACAATGATATGTATTACTTTAATCTAACTTCCTCCACCTTATTTTCAACAACAAATCAAGTGGTCCCCTTGTAATAAGAAATGGTCATAATAAATACATCATCACTCATCACTTAAAATAATGCAGTGACTGAGTAACTCTGATTCTCTTACCCGAAAAATTGAAAAATCCCTCACAAAACCCATCCAAACCCGACCCATAAACCCGTCGATGCTCACTCCATGGCTCTGCCGTCCGAGCCTCATCGCCGCCGTAGCAACCAATTCTCCGCCTTCCTTCAATCCACCACTTCCAACTTCGTGTCTCTCTTCAACCTACCAAACCCTCCACCTTTAACGTTTCCACAACCACAACTACCCTCCGCAATCTCTCTCCCTCTCTTCTTCGAGCCGCCGCTCTCCGCCTCAACCCTCGACTCCGCCGCCGAGTCAACTCGCCCCGCCGCCAAATCGGTGAGGGTCGCGAGGCTCAATTCACATGGCAAGGGTGGTGGGCCTGCCTTCGTGGGTCAGGTCTTCAGCATGTGCGACCTCTCCGGAACAGGCCTCATGGCCGTTTCCACCCACTTTGACATACCCTTCATCTCCAAAAGGTTAATTTTCAATCAAGTTTTTTTTTTAATTGAAACTACTGTATTATGCAATGTCATCTTGGTTTTTAAGCTGTTATCTTGTCATATTGGGATTAACGTTGAAATTTTTTATTTTTAAAATTTTGCTATCATGTATGCTTCAATCGTTTCTTATGTGAGATTTTTTTACTGGTAACTAAACTTTGAGTCTGATGAAGGCCTCGTATCAAGCTTGGTTTTTTGCAAAATCATGTCCGAATCAGTTTGTAGAAAATCATTTAATAGATTATTATTCTTTTGTTGCTTAAGGCAAACATGCAGGAAGGTTGTTAGAATATACGAAAAATATCTTTTAATATTTTGATTGTATCTTAGAATAAGATGGGGCATCATCTTATATGATAGATCTCCTTGGAATAGTTTGGTGATTTCTTTATATTTTGTGATTTATTTCTTTATTTAATTAGGATTTGGAGTCTTATATTGGTGTAAATAGATAATAGAGATTATGCTTTGTAGTTTATATCACTTCATAACATATCAAATCAATACCAATTTCATATTATCCTGTCTTTATTTTCTCTTTTCTTTTTTACCTGCCTAAATCCCTATAATTTCTTGCAAAGGTGTTAGTTATAGTAGTATGATGCATGATGCTTGGGTTTTTAGGATTCCCATGTTTGGTGTGACAACTGTAAATCACCTTACATTCACAAGCATATGCAATGCCCGTGTTTGGTTTGGTTGCATTTAGCAATCTTAGTATCCAATTGAGATGCTTAGAGTAAATATGAGATGCCTGTGTGGTAATCTCATAACAAACACGGACATCTTGCTTCAGAATCCAAGATGCTTGGGAACTACTGATTATAGATTGGTGAACATTAAAGGAATTTATGGCTAATATACTTGATTGAAAGTTTTGCTAGTATTTGTTTAAAACCTCATCTAACTATAGATAAGCTTTTACCATCCATCGTTTTTATGAAAATTTAATTTTTAACCTGTTATCTATTAACCTGCAGAACCCCTGAGTGGCTGAAAAAAATATTTGCAGCAATCACCAAGAGTGAGAGGAATGGTCCTGTATTTCGCTTTTTTATTGATCTAGGAGATGCAGGTTAGCTTTATGAGTATTCCCTTTTTTTAATAGTTCTTATATATGCTTGTAATTTTACCAAACCATTTCTGTCTTATCATATGCTTTGAGGCAACTTTGATTGAAATTCCTGTATAGTTTTTCGTTAAAACTTGATTAAATCTATGACTGTGATGTTGTCTAAACATCATTATATCATTGTGTTCCTTAACTTTTCCCATACCTCCCTCTCAAATATGCTTTTTTGGCCTTACTTGATCAGTTTATTGTTAGATATAGTTAATTCTACTATATTCAGTTGCTAGCCAAGCACCTTTTGAATGCTCATTCACCAGTTTCTTAGAAGTAAGGAAATAGGCTTTTGTTCAGTTTCATTTGTTGAAATAGAAGATTTAAATAGCTGACAGTTTTTACTTGTTGATCACCCTTCTCTCATTTGTTTCGCTGGGGGGTGGGGGACGGTACACTATATAGAAAAGAAATTGCTTAAGAGAGGAATGAGGAGAGTAGAGGTAGGGGATAATAAGATATCCTCCACAACCTAGAAAACTAGATAAAGAAGAGGCGAGAAAAAAATTCAATAATGCAATAAGGCTGCCCAATCTCTGCGTATCAGAGATGTTAACTCCATTAAAGCATCCATGTACAGAATACCAAATAATAGCCAATAAGCTAAAAACAAAGCCCTATCCCATATAAGCTAAAAGAGACATTGATGAGACCTTGGGATGCACCACCCCAGAAGCTAGCTAAAAGGGTGAGAGTGCCCAAGGCCTTATAAACCCCACATTAGTTGCCCATACAACCAATGTGAGACTTCAAGACTTCAAGTCCCATACCTTGCAAATGGGATCGTATCAGACACCCGTAAAGATGTGAGCATTCACGAACTATGTGCATCAAAGGGTTGCAATACTGCATACTGCCGTAAAATTTTACCTTCCTTATTTTCTTACTAAACATTTATTAAAGAAAAACCAACAAAAACTGATCCAAAGTGGAGGACAAACCCAGAGCCTATCCACCAAGAGTCCTAAAAGGCCGAATTGGCCTACTATATCTGAACCTGATCTACACATTATACATTTCCGTGTTTGCTAAAAATTTCCTCAAACACAGTCCATATATTTTGTACTTTTATCTATATTCTTATTTATATGTATTTGGTTCCCTGCTTGTCCATGATGTCATTCTCATATCATCATACATTTTGGATGATGTAAATATCTGATTAGTGATTACTTCTTCACCAAATACTGACCTTTTTAATGGTCTTAGTTTCATATGTCAAAAAGCTGAATATTCCAAGTGGTGTGGTGGGTGCCTGTCGTCTTGATCTAGCATATGAACATTTCAAGGTACTTCTGACATTTTCAATTGCCATTTGAAATTTAGTTGTGCTGGTCTGAATATGTGTGTTTAAGGTTATATTTGCTCCATCATTGATTTGGTTGTTTACATATATTAAAGCATGAAGATGGATGTCTCCAAATATTTTTGGTTAATTTATAACGTCGCTACGCTCCCTACATACCATGCAGGAAAAACCTCACTTGTTCCAATTTGTTCCTAATGAGAAGCAGGTATTATTCATCTTTCATTGTTGCATATTTTTTAGTTTTATTTGACTGCCATTTGTATTTATTATCAATACTTTCCCTCCAGGTTAAGGCAGCCAATAAACTTCTGAAGACAATCCCACAGAATGGTGTCAGGAAAAAGGTTGATGGGGTGCCAGTGTTTAGTGCAGAGAATTTGGATATTGCAATAGCAACTACAGATGGGATTAAATGGTGCATTTTGCTCATCTTCCTTGTTTTATACTATGTAGCACTGATACCGACACGTGACACGATACGACACGACACTCCGACACGTTAATTTTAAAAAATGTTAGATTTCGACACGTTAGGACACGTCTTGATATTAAATATTTTTTTAATTTATGTAGTATATATTATATTTAATATTTAATAATTTAACAAAAAAATAAATATAAACTTATAATATTCATCAATTTTGCAAAGAAACATAAGATATCCCAAATATTTATATTAAACTCAATAAAATAGTACTCGTAATCCAGCAAATCTAATAGTTGGAACTAAAAACTCAAAGCACCGCAACCTTTAAACTTTTTTTTTTGAATTTCTATAACGCGTGTTGGAGTGTCGAAGAGTGTCCGAGAGTGTCGGGAAGTATCGGACACGACACGTTAGGGTTTTTGAAGTGTCGGTGCTTCATAGGTTTTATATATATTAGAGTTATTTTCACATAATTTGCTTATATTGATTTGAAATTTAACATTCGTAAAATGATTATTGTGGATTTTCAATGGATGGATACCTCTCTTTTTTCGTTAGAGCAGCTCTACAGGAATATCTCTTCTCGTGTTTCTTTTGCTTTTGTATGGATAGTAGTTCAATTTTTTTTTCTGTCATTTTAGTAAAAAATAATCGCTTTAGACCAGCCTCTTTATTTTTCCCATTATATTTTCTCTGGTATTATTTTAGTGCTTAGTATGGTTTCACTTGAAAAGAAGGATTTGTATATTATTGAATTGTATCAATAACTGTACAAGAATTCTCTATTTAAAGAGACTAAAAAGACCTAATGGGCTAAGCCCAAATAAGCTTCTAGAGTATTCTAACTATTACAAAATAGTGATGCAAAATAATGATCTGATAAATAATTCTAATATTTACAATAGTTTCTTTTGAGCTTCTTTGGGCAGTTTTTCATCCATAATAGTAGTACGAATATTAATTCATGATATGCTATTTTTTCTGTTATGTTTTGGGCTTGCTTTTGATTATTTATCCCGCATTATGCTTCATTGATATGCCCAATTCTTGAGAACAAAGAAAGTGTTTTATACCAAAGCCCAGAACAGAATCTATTATGCTTACACTATTGCTCTTTGTTCCATCAGGTATACTCCCTACTTCTTTGATAAGAACATGCTTGATAACATTCTTGAAGAAGCTGTTGATCAACATTTCCATACTTTAATCCAAACTCGACACATGCAGCGGCGGCGGGATGTGGTTGATGACAACTTGGCAGCAGAAGTGATTGAGGAAATGGGAGATAGTTTAGGGGAGCCTCCAGAGGTGTGATAAATTTCATGGACATATATTGTTTAATGAAGTTATATGTAGTAAGTAGTGAAAGAAAAAATTCAGTAGTAGTGAATAAGAATCTGATATTGCGAATGGTTTTCAACCTGAAACTTTTGTGGCCAATTTAGAATTTATTTGAAGTTTAAATAAAGTGATAATGATTTGTGATACCCCGAATAATATCTTTGTTAATATATTTGATAAATGCTTGGCCTCAGACACCTCATATAACTTGATCCTGAAAATAAAAAGTTGTGTTGTATGTTTCATTTTGTTATATTTATTTAAAGGGAAAAATGTTTCTGCAGTTAATGCAGATAAGTTATCTGCATTTATTCCCAAAACAACGTCGTTTTGGTATTGAGATATTAAAAAATTATAAATATAAAGACTATTATAATCCTGAAATAAATTAAAATTACAAAAACACCATGATTTCCGCTCAAAACAACGTCGTGTTGGACTTACTGCAGATAACTTATCTGCAGTAACTGCAGAAAAAGCGAACCCTTATTTAAAAAGGGACTGACTCGAGGTATACATAACATTAACATCTCTTCCTATTTCTCTTATGAATTTGGTATTTTCTTGTTGATTTTTCCTGACAGGTTCAGGAAGTGCTAGACGAAATGGGCCATCCTAGTATACCTCTCAGTGTTATTTCAAAAGCTGCAGAGCTCCAGTTACATTATACTGTTGACAAAGTACTCCTGGGTAATAGGTGGTTACGGAAAGCAACAGGCATACAACCAAAATTTCCATATATGGTTGACTCGTTTGAGAGAAGGTACCTTCTATGCTGTTTTCTGGCCTTTGAAACTGGCTTAAATGTTCAACCCTTGGCATTTTCACTCTTTCTGTTCTTAGTCCAGTGGTTTCCTAGTCAAGTTTATCATGCATAATAGAACAAATATTTGCAATTCTTTCTCAAGAATACATAATAGTTTTATTATTCCTGTTAGGAACTCAAAACAGAGTCTGAATTTTTAGGGAGTGCTTAGAAACAGAGAAGAGAGAAAGAAAGAACACTTCTTTATTCTCTTTTTTCTTTCTTTCCTATCTAAATCCCTATAATTTCAACAATAGATATAGCTTAATAATCCATTACCTGAGAGAGGGCATCAGCCACCCTGTTATCGTTCCCCATCATTATATTGTATTTTAAAGTCAAAGCCAAGTAGCTTAGTGGTCCATTTCAACTGTACTCCCTCTAATACGGTAATATCCTTTGTTCTAGCAGAAATTCAAGCTACAGTGGTATGTTTGATTAATAAAATGGTGACCAAGCATTACTGCCGTGGCTGTACAGCGAAAACAATAACAATTAACTCCCACTCATAAACAGATTTTACCACTTATATTGAAAGTGAAACTTTAAAATCCACTTATATTTGATATGATCTATCTCTGGTTTTTTGCTCATCAAAATCAAATCTTTATCAAGATCAACCTGAACAAAAATTCTTTGGATGATAGGAACAGGTTATAGCCTGTTTGATTGAAGGACTCAAACTTTTTGTTCTTGAGGAAAAGTGTCCAACTTGTTAGAAGTACTTGTGCTCTTCGTGATAACTTCCTGAATATCTGAAATTGTGACTGGAATAATGTTAAGGGTACACAACTACACATGTTTAGAAAGTGTTCTAGTCATTATGCTTGCTAACATCTATATTTTTTCCATGCATTTTAAGTTTGTTTAACATTCTCATTGCAAGTGATCTTCAATCTGATTTTGGTGAACCAGTTGACCTGCCATGTTAGTATAAGAAGGAGTTGGTAGCTTTGTTTGGCAACTTAATCTAACTTTAGTACTGATTATATTATAAGCTCAAGCAATTGGCAGTGTGATACGGACCTTGATTGATACGAACTAGGGGAGAGGTTCACCCGAAAAGTTAACTTGTAAGGTAGGAGAGCCCAATGCACTGCTCGATTGTAGCTGGTAGACATAGTGGTAGCTTTGATATCAATTGATGCGAACCTTGAGACAGTCACCCCAAAAGCTAGTTTTTGGGGTAAGACTCTCCCAAGATTCATATCACAGTGCTTGATACTTAATGCCATTTTTAATATTTGACTACGGCAGACAATATCGAACTGCATTATTTTTTAAGTTGGATAGCTTTAGTGTGAATATGTATTTGTCTATACAATGATTTGTGACATTGTGCTCGTTATTCTGCAGAAGTGAAGCTTCTTTTCTGAGAGTTAGAGAGTCAAGTAGCTGCCTTGGTAGCTCTAAAGTGGAAGATGATAGGAAACATTCTGAATGCATAGACTATTCTGATAACAATTTGGATGATAATACTGAAGGAATCAAAGACCCTCGTCCCAAATTAAGGCTACCTCTTGGTGAATGGTTTCATCACCAATGGCCAAAACAGTGGCATGAAAAAGTAGGCTTATCAAGAAAAGGTGTAAATAAAGACGATTTGAAACCAAATCCATTGCTTCCAAAAGTTACAATGGTTGGTCTCTCAACAGAGGAAGCAGGCCAGATGAGCAAAGCTAGTTTAAAAAAGACAATGGAGGATTTGACAAGAGAGTTGGAGAAGACAGAGCTTGATAATATGACTGGCGGTGGTAGTAATGAGTGCAAATTAGAAGATAGGGATCCATTATTTGTAGCAAATGTGGGTGATTACTATTCTAGTGTGGGAAGAACAGGATCTGCTCGGTGGATAAAAGGAGGATCCAACTAAACCCCCCCCCCCCCCCCCCCCCCCCCCCCCCCCCCCCCCTTTATTTTTGTCAAAGAAAGTTTTCATTTGCAGGTAGTGGTGGATGGTTAATGGTTTCCAAATGACATTGAGAAGATTGGGTTACCGATTAACATGTTAAAATGTTGAAGCTGGAAATAACCTCATTTGGGGTGTATACTGAAAGTGGATGAATGAAGCTCGAGATTATGTCTGATCAATGTTGTAAATGATTATTTATGTAATTCATCGATGTTGCCCATTTTGTTGACTTCTGGGAAGTTAAATAAAACTTGTGTTACAGAATAACTAGATACTATATATATACATGGTTCTGAAAAAAGTCATTAGTCTTACTAATTTTTTTCTTAATACAATAATGGCACTGAGGTTTGAATAAATAAATTCATATGATTTACTTAACCTGCTCTTAGTGGCTTGCTTACCTTGTCAATTATTTATGAAAAGATAGAAGCTGTTGCCCTTTTTTTTTTTTTTTGACTCTTATAAAATTCATCAGGCTAAATTCTATAAGGGTTGCAGACCCTATTAATTTAAAATAGCGTAGATGGAAAACCAGGCAATTGTGTAAAATAAAAAAGAGAGAGTAACTATTCAAATTGGTCATCAAAGATAAGTTGGTTATGGTTATTCACATTTATTTGATTTTTCCTGGAGAGTGATTAAATTAATGTTTAGAAAAATATAAACCAAACAAGTTTTGCATTTAAATTGTTTGAACAAAAATATAATTCAATAAATAAATATATTAGAGTTCGAGTTATAATTTGAGAGTATAAAATATTATAATAATATTCGAAAAAGTGAATATTTTCATTAGATATTAAATACAATATCTAATATGTTCTTCGTGAAAATAGATTTTAGAAAAATAATAAAATATATTATATTTTGATTTTGATTTTTGAAAAAATATTTATCATAGTGAAAAAAATCACAAAATGGATCAGAAAATCTTATTATGAACACAAGTCTTCATCAAGTTTGAAGTACTCCCATTGTTGTCCCGCGGTTCATTTCCGAGCAAATGCATTAGAACCCAATTGATTCATTATTGTCGTTTAATATTTCACTTGGAGCATGACAAATGGACAATACCAGCGAGAACTGGCAGAACTTAAATTCGAATTTCTTTGTTTAGAGTACACAATAAAATATGATTCAAGTTTTAGTGAATTTAGAAAATCATCCTTAAGATCTTAGATTTTCATTACTTGAAAACAGTTGATTGCAAAATCTCACATTCAAGAATGAAAAGAGCAAGATATTCGATACCAAAACGTAATAGTGTACAATAATAAATAATTGAATCCTAAACCATATACTTTAGGCATGAATATCAAACGTAAAAGAAACAAACTGAATTATATGAAATTAAAATACCAATTTTAAGTTTATTAGTTGAAGACACAATTCTTCATCTAAATTTCTTGCAAGGTTTAAAAGACTGTTTTTCTTTGACGTTCACACTCTATATTCACAACTCTAACTTGTATATGTGCTATGTGAATTGTTGGATTATATGGCAAATTGACCGTACTATGATTCTTTGTGAAAAAAATTTACGGTTCAAAGCTGATTTGAAATCTTTTTCTATAGTAAAGCAGTGAAACCCGTTAACTAGAGTTGTTTATCAACCGATCCAAACTGATTCAAACCGCGGTGACCGAACCGAAAAATCGAAAACCGAATAAACCGAAAATCGAAAAACCGAAAACCGAATAAAAACTACAAATTTTAATTGGATTGGATCGGTTTTCGGATTGGTATATGAAAACCGATCCAATCCAAACCGATCTAATATATTAATTTTCCTCTACCTACTTGAGTCTTTTTTCAATCATAACCCAAAAATTTCTAAACACAAGATCCATTAACCCATCAACTAAACCCAAGAAAAAACTTAGTCACATCTCATCAACAAAATTTCATCTATGTAGAGCTTCATATCTTATAGTCCAAAAAAAAACTATATTATCTGATGCTTTTGTATTTAAAAAAAATATTACAAAGCCAATATACACAAAAGATCTTATTTGCACAATAATCATGAAATAAATTTTAAAATTTTCAAAAAAATCGAAAACCGATCCAATCCAAACCGAAAAAAATTGGATTGGATCGGATCGAATTTGCAAAAAAATCCAAACCGAATGGATAATTATATGATCAAACTTAAAGGATTAGATCAGATGATTTTGCTTCCAAAATTGATCCAATTCAGACTGCAAACACTCTTACCGTCAACTATGCTGACAGGTATAATTCCGTCAACATAATTGACAAGACTCTTCTCCACATCATCAAGCCCAACCAGTTGGTGTCCACGTGGCGTGGTTTCATTGAGTTTTCTCAACTTTGTTACCAACACCAATCCAGTCATATTTATTGACACGTTTATTTCTGTCAACTTTGTTAACATGTCTCGGCTCCGTATCCCAAACACTCCCCTCCCCCGTGTCCGCACCAATTTTGTCATTTCTCAATCTAAACTTTTCCAAATCTCTCAACTTACGTTTTTCTCCTCCTTCTCTCTTAAACCCTTTCCCCATTTTTTTCTCCCCTGCCCCGTCTCCTCTGCCCTCCTTCACTCTAAAATCGTTTCTCATTTTTTCTCCCAGTTTGTGTCGTCTCGTTTGGTGGGGCGTTCCTCTTATCAGTAACAGCGTCCCTTTAGCAGCAACTATAGGTAATGGTGCTTCTTTATTTTTTTTCTTTAGTTATGTTTTATATTTTGTTATTTAATTTAAGTTAGTTATTTTTTTTAGCTATAAAAACCATAGGATAAAAAACCTTATTAGAGAATTTAATAAAACCTAGAATTAGTAGAATAAGAAACTATTTTACTTAAAAACTATTTAATAAAATATTATTTAATTAAAAACTATGTAATAACATCCTAGGATAGAAAGATTACCGCTTACCAAAAAAAAAAAAAAAGATTACCAAAAAAAATCATAGGATAGAAAACTATTTAATAAAATCCTAATGTAGAATTAATATTTTAACTAAATAGAAATTATAAGTTTACCAAAAAGAAGTTAGTAATTATAATATATTAAACCCTACGATCGAAACCTATTTAGCAAAATAATTAAATAGTAATGAAATTATGAAATAGTAATTATAATTAGTATATAGTTAATATTTTGAATTAAATATTAAATATTAATTAGGGTACCCTAGGCTAGAAACCTATTTATTAAGGTAATTAATTAGTAATGCAATAATTAAATAGTAATAGTAATTAGTATTTAAGTAAAGCAATAATTAATTAGTAATTAAATAAATAAATAATAATAAATATTGAATATAATTTAGGGTACCTCAGGATAGAAACCTATTTACTAATTAAGTAATGACTAATGCAATAATTAAATAGTAATTATAGTTAGTGTTTTAACTAAATAATAAATATAATTTACGAAAGCTTAGGATAGATAACATATTTAAAAGTAATAATTAATTAGTAAATAAATGATTAAATATTAATTATAATTTAGGGTACTGTTTTGATTATTATTTTAAATATTAATTAGTAAATAATTTGGGGTACTGTTTTAATTATTGTTTTAATATTTACTATATTATTGATTTATTTATAAATTTGTATTAGTTAAATGGATGATCAGCACCCCCACATTGACCCTAGTCCTAAAGAGTAGGGCATACTCGATCAGGTTGTGCAGCGGTCACTTAGATCGCAAGTCGTGTGGAACGACAAACATTTGCGGTCTCTTGGGTGAGACGAGCTTCAGAGGGTAGGGGCAACAGAGATGCGCATGCATGACCCATATGACATCCCCTTGGATTTGCAGCACCACCTGATGTGTGCAGGTTTCTGTATGCGGCTCGCATGAGGAGTATACTGGTAACTCATTCTTGTATCATGATCACATGTGAACAAAGTTGACGGGGCTAAACATGTCAAAAAATATGACTGGACTGATCTTGGCAACAAAGTTGACAAGACTCAATGAAATCACGTCACGTGGACACCAACCGATTGGGCTTGATGATGTGTAGGGGAGTGCTGTCAACTATGTTGACGGGACTATACCTGTGAGCATAATTGACGAATTTGACTGCTCTACTATAAAAAAAATATTCTAAATCAGCTTTGAACAAGAAATTCTTTTCACAAAAAATCGTAGTACGGTCAATTTGCCTACTATTGTTACTAAATGGCCTTTTGGGGTTTAGTTTATAATAAGCGTCCAAAGAGACCTAGAGTTATTTTGATCCCTGTATATATTTATTCTAGTCACTTGAGTCATCCATCATATTTTCTGAAATAAGGAATAGTACATGTGGTTTAAAATAAAAAAGGAATAGTACCTACACCCTTCTCTCTCCCCTCTTCAGTTATAGCTTGGAAAATCTATTCATCTCGTTGTCGTTGCCTACAAGAAGCTCATCCATAGTTGTTCGAAGCTAAGAGATTCAATGCTAGAGTAGTGTATTCCGCGCACTTACATTACAACAGCTGTACCCTTTGTGTTGATGAAATATAATAATTCATTAACATCCCAAATTACAATGGTCTTATACGGTTTTGTCAATCCAATTATTTTCTCAGTTCCCACCATATTCACATCTCTAGTCTATGTATGTGTTATGTGAACACAAAGGAGATGTAGTTTCAAAACCCAATTTCGGGTCCTTAGTGATGCATAGGCAAAACTTATTCCTATCATCGGTTTTCCTGGCTAGCCTAATTTTTACCAAAATACATTATCAAATTTATAATTAATCTTGCTTGTAAAACGAAAGGACCAATTGTAGAGTGTAAACCAAAAAGTCTTAAAAATAAAATAAAATAAAAATATAAACCTTCCCCACACGAGATGATGGGTGAGGCTAACCACCAATAGCCAAATAGACTCCCATAATCATACAAAAGGAGTGGAATTAGAAATTAAATCTGTACGTTTTAATATTAAATAATATTTTTAATTTATATAGTGTATATTTCATTTAATA